TTAATATTTTAAGCATAGCGCTAATTCAGTCTTATGGTATAATTCTTGGAAATCTTTAATTTTTTAAATTAAATTGTGTATTTTAACAATTGCATTTCCCTTTCATGTATTTATAAGCTTTTAAGGCTTATTTAATATATTTTATCTAGTTGGTCATACATGCTTWGAATTTATTATTATTTTTTATTAAACATTTTGGATAATACAATTTGAATATGGCTTAGGTACTGAAATATTTAGTTGTACATTTTTGTATTTTTGTTTTTTATTATTTAGTTGATTTAATTTTTTTTTTGTTTCAGCACTATTTGTAATAATGATGATGTATGGAATAATGAAATAACTTCCAATAATTGTGATAATATGCAGCTTGCTAATCCAGAACCTAGGCAAGTTAATATATGTGATGGGAGCAGTTCTGTATCACCAAATTTCATTAATAATATTATTCAAAAGTATGATGTTGTCTGGCTATTTTTTATGTTTTGGAAGATTATAAATAGTGTTAAAATATTAAATATAAATTATATTTTAGCAAATCTCTATTTATTAATTTTCTACGGTAACATACACATTAGTAAGACTGAAACCACCTATGCAAGGATAGTGTTCTCTTAAAATATATATAATAATATATATAGTATACTCATAGGCGTGCGCAGGCCTCTTTTTCAGGATATGCAGAAGGCTGACAATAGCGCGCCCTGAAAGTTATTTTAGGCTCGTAAAATTATGATAATATGTATACACAATTCACAAATATTGAAAAAACCTGCTGTTTAATAAAAAAAAATATTGTAATAAATACCATTACATAATACAAGAAGTATGAATTTCGCAAATACTTGGTAGTTGATAACTGATACTGGATGTTTTAATTTTCCAGAGTCGATGTTCGCCCCTCACAGAACTTCAGGGTATGCAGCTGCATACCCTGCATACCCCCTGYGCACGCCTATGAGTATACTATATATATATATAATAGTTTATTACTATATTATATGGCAAGCACATTAAGTGGGCTGTTTCAGTTATGAAAATGATGTGTGGTACAAGCACTAATGCTACATTTCGTCTATGAAATTGCCACATTAGCTACACATACTATTTTTATTAGACTTTTGCCACCCCAAAACTATGTCAATTAGCATTATAGTTATATCCAACTGTTTTTACCATTCTCGGTACATAAATCTACTAAACTATTTTATATAATAATATAAGAGTTACCCATCTACCAGCTAGTATTTAATATATTAGACAAACCATACCTATTGGTTACTTAGATTAATCTGATTTGGGCAGAAACTTTACTGTTTGATAGATGGAAAATTTAATTTACCCACGCTAGTATTAAATAACGTGATGTTTCATAATAATGATATTAGTTTTGTAAAAAATAATTTTTTTTTACAGGGAGTCTGTTTCCAAACAAATTGATTTGGTACAAGCCGACTTGGAAAATTTGCTGAAGGGATTAAATGATAAATACACATTTGACGCAAATATGTTTCTTAATGTAAGTAAAAAAAATTCTTTACCTTAATACTTTAATAGTTATTTTTGATAACTAACTTAAATTTTTATTTAGTTTATTAATGATGATCCAACAAATTTAAATTTACCTATGACATCAGAAGAGCAGACACTTAATGATGGTATGTAAAAATTCCAGTATTTGTATTTAAAATTAATTTGTAGTTTTTGGTTTGGCTTTGTGGATGCTAATTCTTTTTAGTTTTCTCCATGTTGCACATTTAATATTCGTTTGTACATAATAGGTACTTTTATATAATTTAATATATCTAAATACTTATTTTATTTTAACATTTAACAATTAATGTTTTATGCTTTGATATTTTAGCCAAAAATGGGCTGAATGTTACACCAGATAATCAAATTGTGTCATGTCTATCACCAAATACTTATGATCTAAATGATTTAATGACAGCTTCAGCAGACTGGACAGTACCAAACACTCCTATGTCGTTTGATTCAGCATATGAAAATGATACATTAAATACTCCAGTTATAACTGATTCTTTATTAGATACTGACTCACTTTTTCCTAGCATAACTTCACCTGATATTCTTAAAAAATAATTTAGATAACAAAATAATGTTAATGTTTACAATATATATCATTTTTTTTTTTTTTTTTTATTATTTTTATGTAATGAAGATCAAATTTTGTTCTAAAAAAGATAATTTATCTTTTACTGATGAACAGTATGTGTTTATCTAATTATTTATTTTAATTTCTTCACTCAATTCACATTATCATGGTACAATTAATAAAATATTGTTTTTTTTTTTTATACGTATATACATTTACATATAAAATGCAATGTAGTGTTATTGATTTGTAGTGTGTATAACTTATAAAATCATAACATTTTTTCTTAAACTTAACTAATTTAATGATTAACAAAAATATAATAACTTGTTTTTTAATTATTTAATATTTTCATGATGTTTCAGATTTAACTGATTTAGGAAAATTATTTATTGAAATATAACAATGTAAATTCTATAAGTTTGTAACTAATAGGTATTAGTTTAATTTGTTGAATGTTGTCATACAAATATTTAAATGCTAATTTGTTTAATTTATTAATAAATATTACTATTTCTTTTGTCTATATAACAACACAATTTATTTAAATTCATCAACACAACAATAATATATTATTAATTTAATATTTAATTAATAAACAAAATTCTTAATACATAATAATTTAATTATGAATACAATTATTATAATTAAAATATTTCATTATTATAATTAACAAATATGAAATGTTTAAAAATAGTTTGAATGAATTGGATGGATTTATTTAAAACTAAATATTTTTGATTTGATGAAAAATATTTAGGATTATAATCAACAATAAATGCATCTTACACAAGAATAAGATTTTTATACAGGTTGTAACATGTCTTTTTGACTAACGGCGGTGGTATGCATCACGTGGTCATATTAAATAATGATAATATATATGTATTTATTATTGATTACCTGTCTTTTAATGATAACAAAACACTGATTAGCAAGATATAAATTTAATTTTCAACAAAACATTGAAAATTGTTTAAAAATGATGTAACCAAATTAAAAATTTCAAACACCAAAACTGTTTTTAAATACTTATTTATAAAATAGCTATTTTTGGATTATAAGAAAAAAATTTAATACAAAATTTAAATCATTTAATTTTAGTTGTAAAAAAATTAATTAATAAAATAAGACATATAAAAATTATAGCGGAGAGCTCTAGAAATCATAACAAAACAATTTAAAAATATAGAAAAGAAAAAAAGTTATAACATTAGTCAAATAGACCTGTTACACCCATATATTAATACTTGTGATTATTAAGTACTATTTTGTTTGATGTAATAAATAATTTAAAATAGGAAGTTGTTATAGTAAAATTGAATTATATATAAATTATACAATGATAATTATTATACAACTTGTATTGTTTGACTTAATTGTTAAATTTCCAACTTTATCAATGAAATAACCTTTTAAAATATAAAGAAAAATATAACATACATTTGTTAACTTCTCCCGGGGAAATAACGTCAAAAATCTAGCCGGCGGACCGAGAATCGAACTCGGGTCTCTCGCTTACCGGGCGATTGCTCTACCACTAAGCTACCCGACCGCATAGACCCATGACGCTATATCCCCAAGTTAACGGATGTTTACACATTGGATGGTGTTGAAAATATTGAAAAATTTGCTTCATGTGATGATAATTTCTATTTACTTGATATCTTGCTATACTTATAATTAATTTATAATTTAATATTATGAATAATGTAATACTTTGACTTTATAATATGTTCAAAACATCAAAATCCTTGTGTACAACATAGTCATATCTCATATATATTACACTATTTAGTATAATAAATCCGGACAATTTTTGTACATTGATAGGCCTCTGTTTTGGAGGTTAAGCCATCCCAGTTGGTATTTTATTATATTCTAGAAACAAATAGTGGATTAATGTCCACCATTTTAGAAGAAATGTAAAGAAATTTGAAAAATATATTGTTATCAAATAATAAACATGCAAGTAGGTATAAACATAGTTTAATATTTAATTTAAATAGGTAGTCTGTTTAAGATCACAATTTTATTAATTTCTTAGGAATTATAAAATTTACTTTAAATAACTTAATAGATATTTTAGTTTGTAAATTGTGAATTCATGAACATTTAAAAGCAAATTTGGCTATTTTTATCAATTTTAGATTTTAGATTTGAGTTTTCTAAATTCTACGTATAAAGTATAAGATAAAAATACTTTTTTTTTTATTACTTTTTTTAAAGTTAAAAACTATTAAGAAAAAAACCGATCCAATTTTTTTTTTTGGAAAATGTTACTGTATCTGCAGTTTTAATTGTAGATATTTTAAATCAATTATTGTGAGCTGATTTTAATTTATAATAATCTGCATGTGAACCTAATATTCAATCAATTGATCCTTATAAGTAACGCATTATGAACACCTTGGTTATATTGTTCCATATAGTGTTATATGAAACATAGTTATCTACTTTACTATATCTAATATATTGAACAGATGTATCCATGGTTTAAATATAGTCAGGTATAAATGCCTATTATTTATAAATCATAACTTAAAATTGTTAAATTGTTAAATTTTAATTTGGTGTATAAAATCAACGTAGAACCCTAATAGCGATAGAGGTACACAGGTACCTAGTTAATATTATTTCATATACATTCCTAAATAGTCACTTTCTTAGTGTATATAACCATTTATATTTTTAGATAGGTACGTTTACATTTTTTGTACAAAAATCAAAGAAACGTATTTACATTTTTGTAGTTAGGTAGTTATCTAACTATTATTATGAATAGATATATGTTAATGAGAATAATGTAAAATTATTTGTTTATTAGTTTGAATCCTAAAATATCAAAATAGTGACAAAAAAGACCCTGCGAGAAATTATCAAAACATAATTAACACAAAATAAATATAAATTGTAACTATTATAGTTACTAGTTAGGAATAATAATATGATTCATTTCAAGCTTAACAACCAATGTTACAACAATGTTTAACAATAAAATATAAATATAAAAATTAATGGAACAATATCTTATAAGCTAAGTAATAATCTGAATACAGGCAATTAAATTTATTATTTTCCGTTTGGTCATGGACATTGAATTTAGGACACTGAAATATTGTAAATAATATTGTCAAATTCAAGGTTTCAACTGAAATACCATCTTCGAAACTTTATTTTGTTCAGAATATGTAGGTAACCTTGTTTATTATTTGTATGCAGTTACCTACTATTTGATCATAAAACATTTCCGYGTATGTATCCCGACCATAAAAATTAAGAGAAATCTTAATCTATTTCTAGGTATATTTTATTATTATGAAATTGTGCTATAATTGGTACCATACGGGAACCGCATTATATGCAATATAATTATATAACCAATAGGTAATAACTAGTCGTTGGGCACGTAAATTGATATGCTAAATCTAAGCCTACAAAGCTATAACATAAGTTCCTCCGACCGTGGAAGGTTTAGTAGATAAATACGCCAATTTAATTCGAGATCATTGGTTTCCGTTTATTTCTATTTAGTCGATCCCATAATAGCAAGACGCAATCAGCATCGGTGAAAGTATTAAAATATAATACCTGCCTACTTACAAATTATAATTTGTATAGGTGATAGGTACCCAAGTAGCATTAGAAGGTATCTAATGATTTATTTGGAATGCTACGCGAATGTCAAAATAAATAAAATTAGTGAATTGAATATACGTAAGCTGACCTATACATATATATATATATACTCGTATATTATTATAATGTACCTGTATAATACAACTTTTGGAATTTAATCTTCTAATATGAATTAAAGTTTAGAGTCCTTATATTATTATTATTATTATGTATCGTTTTAAAAATTATCAATGCAAATATATTTAAGACTAGTTTTATTTATCCTAAATAATCTCGATCGCGGTTTTTAGTATGTTTTATCAATGCCTATATCGATAGTAGTTTATTTCATCCCTGTAACTACGATTAGGTAATAATATTCGTTTTGGCACTTCGATTCAATTAATTAGGTATTATATTTGAATAGAATCCTGGGAATCCGTCACACCCGCCATTGGCCAAACGACAATTACGTCATTTTTGTCTGTAATAGTCTCTTCGGATTGTTCTGGTGACGACGGAATAGGCGATGTCTGTGTACGGCGAGACCTTACGCTTTTGCTAAAAAAAAAAACAACAACAACAATATTAACACAAATAACATGACGAAATTACGTAAGTATAAATTAATAACAATGTTTCAGACGTATGTCGAATGTAAATTTGTAATAATGTAATATTATATGGTTTCGTCCCATTATTGTAGGCACTGCGTTCGTGTCCATATGCTATACGCTTACCTATAAGTACTAATTAGTTTTGAGTTTCTGACTTATAAATAGTAAAATAATTATTGCTGTTGTTTTGTAATTATTACCTCAGACAATACTGCTGTGCACTGCACAAACGTAGTACCTACGTTACCTTACCTATACATTTCATAGCCAGTATAGCGGATCGTGTTCATCAAATTAGATCCCACCACCTCAAGGACAATGTTCTATAGATCTAATAATATTATATTACATTATTATGCATACCTAATTTATTTATGTAATAGTTATATTAATAATTATACCTAAGTGTACAGGTTTTTTTAAACTTTTTTATCATATTTATGTTATTATTAAAAACAAAAGCATACCTAATATTATAATATTCGAATAATATCAATTAGGTATTTGTTTATAATTTATATGCTATGACTTAAATCAGGTAACAGTATAGACTATACATCGTATATTCGCATCAACAAACGGGTTTATTAAAAATATAGTATGCGTTATGTCTTATAAAAACATTTTTACGTATTTTTATATAGGTAGTGAAAAAAGCCACATTAAAAAAAGGGGATTAGATTAGATTAGAGTATCTCCCCCCCCCAAAAAAAAAGTATGTACGCCACTGCAGATATCGTGGTGCATATGCTAAGGATCACACCAACCCCGTTGAGTCCAAACTGTTTAGGTCATAGCGAAAAATCAAATAGTTGAAAAATAATGTTGAGCTCCCCAATAAGTTGTCTTTTGTGCAATATGTGTTATGAAACGGTCACTATTCATTTGTGCACACAATAGTGTGCAGATACGGCTTATGCGTCTTGTCTTATATAGTCGTGTAGGTACTCGTGTGTGAATCACACTGTGTGATCTAGTCCCAATTCGTGTAGGTAGGTTGTAGCCTTATAGGGACCTATGTGCTACACGTCACATCATATAACATCAGCAGTAAATAATAAATGCGATTTAGAAATGATCAAAATTTTTACACCTTATTTGTGCCACATTTAAAATAATATTCAACTATGTACCTACCTACATTATTCATAGGTGAAAATTAAAAAATGCATTCGAGCGTAAATATCGAAAACTTACTGATTGTTTTCGGACTGGTGGGCGTACAAGTCGTCTTGGTCTTGAGCTATGTACGAACACCGGCAACACATCCGTTTGCTGTGCACTTTGAACACGTGGGTAGCCAACCGTTCGGCCCGGGCTGCTTTGTATTCGCAGAACATGCACTCGTAGGGTTTCATGTGGGTGTTGAGGTGCCGTTTTAGACACCAATTGTCGACACCCGACCACGGGCAAAACGTGCAGCAATACCGTTTCTCGAAGTTTTTCCGGCTGCCTTTGCCCTTCGGTTTGGTAAACGTCGCCGTACTCGTCGGCACCACCGAGTCTACCGCCAAAATGGCATCGGGCGCAAACATCACCTAGACATCACATGTATGTGGCCGGTTATTAATAATTAAGATATATTAACCTACATTAAAGGTTAAACATGAGTATACATTATATTACGCAGAGTCTTAGTCGTGTACCATTTGTGCAATTTCTTAGGCTGCAGTTGTATTGTAAACTCAATAACGAAATAATCATTATGCAATGTAGGCGATAATATGCATTATATAATTCGTTATATCGTTAAACGTAAAKCATATTTTACTTATATATATTATACTAGGTATATGGAGTTGCAATGTAGCATCCTAATATAAATTTTACACAATATATTTGATATATATATTATTTTAAGAGGTTTTTGAGTGTTGGTTAATTTAATTCAACATAAATTATGATTTCACGAACTATTGAATTAATTCAATCCGAAAAGATAAGTATATGAATGTATTGAAAATAATTTTCTGAATTCAACACATGATTATTGGGTAGTGATTAGACGTATAGTGGCTGTTAAATGTATAGGCAATTTCATAATTTGTATACGACTTATTGAGTTTTTTGGTACCTATACAAATCTTGCACGCGTCAAACGAAAAATCAAAATCTAAGTTCAACTCACCGGTTTTATCTGGTTAGCTGATATCGGTATTTGTATAGTGTGCGTGCCGGTCTGTTCGTTAAAATTGACCACGGCGATGTTGACGACTGTCTGCTGCTGCTGCTGCTGCTGTTGTTGTTGTTGTTGTTGTTGTTGGTCGTCCAACACGAGGGGATTGTTAGCTGCTATAATCGGCACCGGGGGCGGTGGTTGTTCGTCGATCGTCCGCGACACGATGATCTGCGTCTCCGGTTCCAGCGACGGTGGGTCGTCCGAGTACAGCGTCACCCTCTGCAGTTGTTGTTGATGGTGAGCCGCCACCGCGGCAGCAGACTTACCAAAAGGGTCACGTTTCACCCGGCTCAAGCAGTACTCGTGGTCTCTGTGCATGCGCGTGTAGTGTTTCTTGACGTGATCGGCCCGGTTGAACTGCTTCTGACATATGTCGCACTGGAACGGTTTGTCCTCCTTGTGTATGTTCTCGTGCCTGGTGTACAGGTCCCGTCGGTCGGTGGCGTATGGACAGTGGACGCAGTTAAACCGCTTCTGAGCGGTCTGCGTTTCCGTGTCGGCCGCGTTCAGTTGCATTTCGTCGTCGGCGGCGGCTTCCGATTCGGCAGATGCCGCCACGGCGGCGGCCGCTGCTGCCGCGGCTGCGGTGGCTATCGCTTTATCCGCCGCCGTCTTCAACCGGCCCAGGTAGCTGGTGACCTCTTCAAGTACCGGGCTCTCTTTCCACGATTTTCGGCCGGCCTGTTGATGCGTCCCGTGTTCGGCCACCACGTTATGCTGTCGGGCCAAATGCAAGCGAATGCACTTTGTGTACGCGCTCGCGTACGGACACTGCGGGCACTGGAACACCTTGACGTCTGCGTGCGTGCCCAGCCAGTGTTCGGCCACGCTAGACAGAAGGCCCATGGAATCGCATTCCTGACATTTGAACAGTTTCTTGTCCACGTTGTAGCTGCCGATTTTCGACGTAGTCCAAGCAATCGTCTCCTCACTGGTCACCCAAGGGTCGTCCTCGGGCTGCGATTGTTCACCGAACGACTCGGCCTCATCGTTGTCGATCATGCTCAGGCCTTCTTCTACCATTTTGTACGCATCTTGGCCAGCAAACTGCCTGTCCTCGGACGACGACGTTTCTTGCCCGTAAATTTTTTTCGTAATCTCTTTGAACATGTCCTCGTAAATATCCATTTGCACATCTGCCATCGCGGCGTGCCTACCATCTAATTCGTCCACCGGGATCGTTGTACGGTGTTCGTGTCACCCTAAATTTATTAAAATATCTGAAACACATTAATATAGAATTTATATATACGTGCATATTTTTTATTGCATAATATTATGCATTTAGGTAGTCATGAAGTATCAATAATTAATTATGCTTTGATGCATTTCGATGGTCTACTTTTTATAGGCTGCACTCATATAGACGGTGCGTCGAAGTTCTCACTGTGAACGTGGGTAGTGCGGCCGCCAGCTTGTGCATATAGTAAAAAACCAAAAACAGCATAATATGTGTTTTATTTTTACATTATAATTTGACCATCGTATCATGATATTATGATTTATGAATAATATTCCTTACAAGTTTCAGTTACCAGTAACAGTTTCTGATTTTTGATTTCAACGTATTTGTTATATTGACTTATTATGATAATACATAACTGCAAAGCAGTCCGTAAGCTTGGAATGCTCTGTCTATGATGATTATAAGGCCTACGAAACTTTAACACTTCTCATAATTTAATTATACAATTTTAAATTTATTTATATAATCAAAATTAAATAGACAATATATATTGATACGATTATGATATCCATCCAAGAATATATTGATTGTCGAGCTTTATACATAGCTATTGAAATGTATAAGTATATTTTATTCAGGTATAACGTACAATTAAATTTATTATTGAATAATGTAATGAAAATAACATTATAACAATCAAGTACTGTAAAAATGTTCATTTTTATGTTAAATTACTATCCCTGTATACCTATACCATTCTTTAGAAAATATTTTAAATTTATATATGTTATATTATTATTATCTGTTAGTTATTATATCGTATCATTATAAAATAGTATTTTGTATATCTAGCAAATTAAAATTTTAATTAATTAACCTTACTCATCTACACTGTATGGTCACATATAATTTAATTATTTATCATTAATACGTATATGACTTTAAAAAAATTGGACAAGTTTAGTAGGTATTATACTATTATTGTATTCAATGTTATCTTCAAAATATTTTTATAGTACCTAATGTTGTTCTTAAAGATCTCTTTTATCCATGTTAACTTTATAGCAATACACGCTATTTTGCTGTCAGCAATCAGAGTTTCAGCTATTTCTTGAGTAAACAATGTTTAATTTTTTATACTTATTTATTATGTGCACACTTTTAGATAAGGACCTACGTCATACATTTTATGTGTTTAAAATAACAGTAATAACACAGACACATTTGTTTAGGAAGTTTATTCAGTGATGGAACTATACAACAAGGTAAAACGATAACAATTCATAAATATCATAATTTTATTGTATAATGATAAAGTATTATAAATTGAACATTTAGTATAATTGGTAATGCGTTAGAAATTCGTGGTATAATGTATTTATTTTCCCCATCGATGAACACGTATTTTAATTTTAGATTTGGACATTGTTTTAATTTATTAAACTATTTATAGAAAAAATGTTTAAATTTGTTAAACTTAAAATGAAATAACAACGATTACGAGTGCAATTATGAGCGGCGTATGCCAACAAATATGACAGTCAATTTGTAACTATAAATATACAAGGAATAGTAGGAATAAGTATAATACAGCGTGATTCAGTATGCATGCTCACTTCAACTTTTTCTAACTGTAATTAATTTATTATAATTCTGATTTTTGAAATTTTTAAATACATTTTACCATTTTACAATTATTTAGATTCTTATACAATTTAAAAAGTGTCCTGGTGATAAGTAACTTTTTTCTAATGAGAATCAGTTGAACTTTAAGCAGTACTAGCCCTTTGTTTTATATTTTTAATGTTAGTATCTAAATTAACATTTGATCGAGTTTCTAAGTTATTAAAATGCATAATATACTATGGATCATATTATAGTTATTAAAAACGGGTTTATACAAATTTCAATCATATGATGTATATTGTATGTAATATTGGATCTAGTTTCGATAGATAATCGGACATTTTTTACAAATGATACGATATTTATAAAGTAATATTAATTAATAACCAACATTTTCAAATCTTCATTGCTGCTCCCAAATCTATTCATATGAGTTTCGATTTCGTTTTTTTTTTTTWAAATTTAGATTTAGATCTGAACACATGAGAAACTGGTGATTATCAATATTATCATATTTTGAAAAAAAGAAGTAAGTACCGCTATACAAAACATTATTTATATGGCATATTATATAATTTAATTATTTTAAAATAATAAACATTATCTTTAATAATACAATACAAAAAAACAGAATTTGAATAAATCGAAGTAAGCGTTCTTGGTTAATCATCATTGCTGTGTTCTATTGAGAGTTTATAATTTATGTAGGGCGTTTGAAAGAACTAAATGTGGGCATAGTAATTAGGAATATTATTACAATTAATACGTGTAAAAATCGGGTTATCGCCTAATACACCATATAATAATTATTATAGTGAGGTATTGTCAATTTGAAATTTTTATTTTTTGTTAAATGCATACGACTTGCTAATATTGATGAGCTTGTGCAGAAATTCTGCTTACCCAAGACTTACGTTGCAATAGGTTGCTGGTACATTAATTATTTTAAATTTTGAAAACATTTCTTAAAACATAATGCCATTGATTTTAAAATCAATGATAATACCATTATAACGATAGAATTATAAATTATCAAAATCTGTATTTGTTTGGCCACCTATACATCGGCGTAGCACAATTGCCTACCCAAGCGCCGTGTAACGAGTTTGTCGGCGGCTCGCACCGACGACGCGTGACGTCTTCAAAAAAAACTATAATATTAATATAATTGTACGGAAAACTATAGCCGACAATCGTCGGATCGGACAGCGGTAAATAATGATATTATTATTGTAATCTGTTGATATCACCGTCGAAATATTATCGTTAATAATTCGTTAACGACGAACACTTCTTACACTTTTTAATATTATAATACGCAGACATATTCACAGAGTATTATAATAATGAAATTCGACTGTCGCTTCGTATACACAATCGTGCGCACTGCCTGTCCGATAATCAATAAGTCCGAAACGGACGCGTACCGCACACGGTACACACTTGTTGTGTGATAACACGGTGGTGGTATACGCTACATAATACTATTATGACAAGATTGTAATAATATGGTCTTAATATTTACGCGTGGTAATTAAAACGCGATACCGTTATAGCTGCAGAGTCTATGCGGTGTCATATTATGTGTTACCATAATATATTGTTACTCCTAAACGGATTTATCGATGAATTGTTTGTAATATTCTAATATCGTATACAGCTACAGCTGCCATATCCATATGGGTCAGTGGGGTATGTTGTACACGGGTGGGTACGATTGTATGCGGTGCGTACCCCTATATATTTGATTCGTGACCATAAAAAATATCAAAATAATAATAATAAAATATTATATACCGTATAATATTGTCGTCGTCGTCGTCGTTGTTGTTGTTGTTTGTAATTATTGTTATGCGTATTGTTGTTACGTACCGACGTCGTGGAGAAGCCGTGACGTGTTCACACAGCGTCCGGATCAGTTGTCCACCGCGGCCAAGCGGCGGTGATGCTAAAAACTACGACGGCACGACAAATGACCGCGTACCCAGAGAAATGATAATAAACGACTACCACTACAAACGTATGTGATGATTGACTTAAATAAATGCATTGCGACGTGTGCAGAGTATTGTGGCCGTCCTACAGCACCCTCTGCCGGTGTACAGATACGTTTTTCCGGCAATAACAACTGACGGCAATAACGTCGTCCGACGTTAAACGAGTTGGTTTCTCGTGTGTACCTACCCGGTGAAGAAAAAAAGAACGGGTGAAAGCGAAACGAGGAATGGATTTCGTGGATGGCGTCTGTAATTTTTTTTTGTTATTAATTTTTTCGTTTCAAGACGCTACAGCAGTCGGATTTGGGGGTGGGGGGGTACAAGAGGAGGTTTCTGACTGCGAACAGCGTAGATATAGAGGCGCAGCGCGCAAGGGCGTAGCTACGAAAATCGTTCGATCGGCTACAGCTTTCGGTTGCTAATGGCGACCGGCATGTTGGGTTTCGCGGCCAGATAGCGTGAACCCTGCAAACAGCAAATTTCCGAGTGATCAAATAATGCAAAAGATTTTATGAACATTTTCGCCCATGTCATCTGTAATATATGCAGAGGAGGAAAGAAGGAGGGGTTAGGATTTTCAACGGTATTTTCTACGGTTTTGATGAGGCGAAAATCTTCGTAATAAATTATCGAATTTCTGAAATCACGACATCACGACAAAAAAATCGATGRTCATTATAATATTTTACCGGTCGTATTTTGGAAGCTATTCACAATAATAGGTACCTGTCGAATTTCCAGCAGTAGACGGCTTATAGATAAGTAAAGTAAAAATTAAGAATATACGACAGCAATAAATATTGACTTTATATAGAAGCAAAGGTAATACGTTCGGCTAATTATTGCTTTTATATATATTATATAGATGATCGTATTGGAAGAGACTTATGAAAACGCTTTTGGGTGTTAAAATGTGCGACTATGTTTGCATACAACCAACGCGTGAAACGTCGAGCTCGGCGGTTGCCATGAGGAACAGAAAATCGGGAGCATGTTTGACTAGCAACGTGCGCTATGCTGATGTAGTGATGTACATTTTATGTTATTGTGTATATTGCATGTTACATTAACGGAACGTCATAAACTATTTACATTCTATTTTTTTCTACGGGAAAATTGATGTCAATTTTAGAACGGGATCATAACATAAGAGATTATCGGCGTACACTCGAAACGCAATATTCATATAATTCGCATATAATTGGGTGCAATTTATATATTTATATATATTATACGATGCATTATTATGTCGTGGGGTGGGGTGGGGGGAGTTTTACCAAACTATGTAGTACGTCATAATATATAATGACGATCATACGAAGAAAATATTACGAGGACGCGACGACGACTTTTCGTGTGCGATGACTAGTCGACGACAGACGATAGCAAACGCCTATAATACTTATATATTACTATATTGATGTGATATAAAAAAAAAATAATGATAATAATAGTAATATTCAAACACGATGAGGGCCCGCGCAGAAAAGTGGCACAGGTATTATAAATGAGAGCCCACCGCCACAGTCGATACCACGCCGAATGACGACGATAATATAGTTGTGGGTCATAAAATATTGTACACCAGCTCCGTGTAAATGTAAATGTTTACAGGTGTTTGGAACGGTAATGGGTCTGTGCCGTTTTGGCCGCACTGATTGGTGAATTACGGATGACCCGGTTTCCACAAGTCTTTGTGTGCATGTGCGCGAGCGCGGGCCATGCAATAAGTACACGACGGAGTGTGTCGCGGGYGCGCGTGCGCTCGGTCCACATGCGCGCACGGACGCGCCGCTAGTGTGGGTGCGCTCGTGTGCGCGCGCGCGCGCGTGTGTGTGTGTCGTAATGCGGGTTGGCGCGCGCGTGTGAGTGTGTCTGTGCACGTGCGTGTGTGTAAGTGCGAGCGTGTGCGGGCGCGGGCGCGTTGCCGTTTTCGCGCAGGGTGCGGGAGGGTCCTTCTAGTCGGGCTAATCCGCCGTCGGTGTGTGTGCGTGTGCACGCGGCGTCAGGTCAACTGGAGTAGTGCGTACTCCCGTAAGYCCTCCGCGTCGTCAGTTTTTTGAGTGTCTCGGTCCGTGCGGTGGGCTCTACCTCGCGCGCTGGCTGGCTGGCGAGGCTCGTCGTCCTCAACACACGTTATTATTATTATTATTATTATTATTATAATACCGTCGACGCATCAGTGTACCATTTTATTATAATGTAGTGGCGTAAGCGTGCGATAATATTACCTGTAAGTCATCGTTACTTGTTTGACGCCGTCGCGGCATGTGATAATAATAATTACTCTGATGTTATCGCAGTCACAATACATTTAGAAGACGACTATTGCACATGATATTGTAATGCAATATTAATAATATTATAATGTTTCGTCGTTTTCATGCGCGCACATAGCCGTGTGTTGCTATTTTTAGCTATAATAATATTAATAACAGCATAGTGTCGTTAACCGTCGTGCACGAAGGTACATCACCGGAATTGTTTGTTCGTTATTGTTATTAGGTACTGTTATAGCATTATGATGCGGTTGGCAAGCGATTTGTGCGGTGTACCGTCACCGTCGCCGTAGTGGGCGAAACGCGACGTGAACAGGATTGCGATCGGTGAAGGGGTTGACCGGTAAAGGAGGGAAAACGATAACCGCATATCAGCGAGAGATCGAACGCCGGAAGTAAAGAGGTCTGTCCGGGTGCTATTGCCGGCCGTCGACGATGCCATTCGGCTGGTCGCCGGGCAGCATCATCACTAGCACCGGTACCTATCGCGCYTGCACTAGCACCATTTGCACCGGCGGGAACGTCGGCGTGTGCAGCGAATGGAGTGCGGCCGGACAGCGCGACGGCATCGCGTACAGGCCGTGTGTACCACGTACGCGGCACGTCATGTACCTGAAATCAGTTGACAATCCTATCTGAATGATCCAGCGCAGCGGTGTCTCAAAAGGTACACGTACCCTGTACACTATTTTCTCACACTCCTTGCCGGCCCGAACGACACCCCGCACGGGTACTCCGTGCCACAGTCCGCCGACCCACACACGCCCCACGGCCGTTTACTACTCTGCTCCTTACTCACGCACCACCCATCGTCCTTCACTCCGAT